GTGCGTGCGTGCGTGCGTGTGTGTGTGTGTGTGCGTCTGCGTGTGCGTGTGCGTGTGCGTGTGCGTGTGTGCGTGTGCGTGTGCGTGGGTGTGGGTCTGGGTGTGGGTGCGTGTGTGTATGTGCGTGTGTGTGTGTGTGTGTGTGTGTGAATGCGTGTGTGTATGAACATGGACGTAGATGTGTGGATGTGTGTGAGTGTATGTGTGCGTGTGTGTGCTCATGTGTGGGCGTGTGTGTGTATGTGTGTGTGGGCGTGTGGGTGTGGGGGTGTGGGGGTTTGGGGATGTGGGGGTGTGGGGTGGGGTGGGGGGGGGGTCACGGTGTGGGTCACGGTGTGTGTGTGTGTGTGTGTGTGTGCGTCTGCGTGTGCGTGTGTGTGTGCGTGTGCGTGTGCGTGTGCGCGTGCGTGTGCGTGTGCGTGTGCGTGTGCGTGTGCGCGTGTGTGTTCCCAACCATATTGTGGTGTTGGGTCTTCGTATTGAATCGTCGGAAACTTGAATATCAACATTGCCAGTGGTGGGCTGTTCTTCAATCCCAGGATGTTGTGAGGGTCGGGGGCGACGTTGTGGTGTATATTGTTTTTCGTTTCCCAGGAACCAGCGGAAATGTATACGCCAGAATCCCACTTATTCCAGGATCCGTTTCCCGGTGCAAATTCAGTGCAGGGCCGCAACAAACGTCGGTGTATGGAGTTGGGTTCGCCGCGCACCATGTCCCCGCTCCTCTTCTTCCCCCCCTCTCCCCCACCTCCCTCCTCCCTCCTCCCCATCCCTGCCTCTGCCCTCATCCGCACGTCCATTTCAGCACACACACACACACACACACACCACACGTTTCGCGACCCCATGGGGTGCTCCACCGAACGCCCCAGTGGCAGGGTTCGCATGGCGGGCCCGCCCGATTCCGGCGCACACCTCACACGTTTCGCGGCCCCATGGGGACCTCCACCGAACGCCCCAGTGGCAGGGTTCGCATGGCGAGCCCGCCCGATTTCGGCACACCTCACACGCTTCGCGGCCCCATGGGGTGCTCCACCGAACGCCCCAGTGGCAGGGTTCGCATGGCGGGTCCGCCCGATTTCGGCACGCCTCACACGTTTCGTGGCCCCATGGGGAGCTCCACCGAAGGCCCCAGTGGCAGGGTCCGCGTGGCGGCCCGCCCCGTTTCGGCACACCCCTCGCGCTCCGTGGCCCCATGGGCAGTACCACCGAGAGCGGCACCCGCAATGCGGCACTCACCACTACGTACGATTGGCTTCCTCGCTCGGATAGTTTACCTGGCCGTGGACGTCAAGGCCCAAACTCAGCTCGCATTGGAGCGAGAGCACGATCCACGAATACATTGCGAGGAAGGCTCGGGCGAAACGGCTGCCCTTGGGCTCCCCGTCCCCCTTGTGGGACTCTTTTGTTTTTCCCCACATCCAAAGTGGGTTTCTTGTTTTCTCTGGACACCCTGCGCAGGAACACACAGGAACACACACTCACTCACACTCACATTCACTCACACACAGACCATCTTGATCACCTTGACCATCACTCGATCACACACTCACTCACACATTCACTCATCATCTCGCATCATCCTCCTCATCATCATCATCATCATCACCATCACTCATCCAGTCTTTTTCTTCACTCACTAACTCATTCACTCACTCATTCGCTAGCTTGTCAATGGGGGAAGTATCATGCGGAAACCTTGTGTGTGAGTGAATTGCGAGGAAGTCTCAGGCGGGAGCCCTGTCCCTATGGGGCCCGCACTTTATGTTTTTGATCCGAGCGAGTCATCCTCAACCTTGTAACTGTCCTCACGTTTGGGCTCCCGAGGCCTGAGTATGGAGGAAGTATCAGGCGGGGAGCCTCGTGTGTGAGTGAACTGCGAGGAAGTCTCAGGCGGGAGCCCCCTCCCCATGTGGCCCGCGTTTTACATTTTCAATCCGAGCGGGTCATCCTCAACCCTGCAACAGTCGTCATTTTGGGGCTCCCGAGGCCTGAATATGGTGGAAACACCAGGCGGGGAGCCTCGTCCATGAGTGAACTGTGGGGAAGTCTCAGGCGGGAGCCCACTCCCTGTGGGGGCCGCACTTCATGTTTTTTACCCGAGTGGGTCAATCTCAACCCTATAACTGTCGTCACTTTGGTGCTCCCGAGGCTTGAATATGGAGGAAGCATCAGGCGGGATGCCTCGTCCGTGAGTGAAATGTGGGGAAGTCTCAGGCGGGAGCTCCCTCCCTTTGGGGCCCGCATTTCTTGTTTTTAATCTGAGCGGGTCATCCTCAACTATGTAAATGTCGTCACTTTGGGGCTCCCGATGCCTGAATCTGGAGGAAGTATCCGGCGGGTAGCCTCGTCTGTGAGTGAACTGTGGGGAAGTCTCAGGCGGGGGCTCCCTCCCTATGGGGCCCGCCTTTATGTTTTTTGATCCGAGCGGGTCATCCTCAACTTTGTAAATGTCGTGATTTTTGGGCTCCTGAGGCTCAAATGTGCAGGAAGTATCAGGCGGGAGCCTCGTCTGTGAGTGAATTGTGAGGAAGTCTCAGGCGGGATCCCCCTCCCTGTTGGGCCCGCGTTTTATGTTTTTTCTCTGAGCGGGTCGTCCTCGAACCTGTAACCGTCGTCCCTTTTGGGCTCTCGAGGCTTGAATATGGGGGAAGTATTTGGCGGGAGCCTCGTCTGTGAGTGAACTGTGAGGAAGTCTCAGGCGGGAGCCCCCTCCCCATGTGGCCCACGTTGTATATTTTTCCCCGAGCGGGTCATCCTCAACCCTGCAACAGTCGTCACGTTGGGGCTCCCGAGGCCTGAATATGGTGGAAACACCAGGCGGGGAGCGTCGTCCATGAGTGAACTGTGGGGAAGTCTCAGCCCATCAGGTGAGGAGGAAGAAGAGGAACAGGAGGTGAGGACGACGACGGCGGCGGGGCGCAGGGGGAAATCCTTGCGTCTGGGCCGGGGGTGGTAACCCATCCTCAGCCGAAGCGGGGGCAGGGGGAAACCCTTGTCTCCGGGCTGGCGGTGGTAACCCATCGTCAGCCGAATCGGGGGCAGGGGGAAATCGTTGTCTCCCGGCTGGCGGTGGTAACCCATCGTCAGCCGAATCTCGGGGGCGGCAAAGAGGGGGGTGATGACTAGGGGGGTGGATTTCATGGCGCGGGCCATGTTTTGTCCGCAGATTTCTTGGCGCCTCTTCTTATTTGATTACGTCCCTGGCCCCTCTTGGACCCCCCTCTTGGCCGCCCCCGAGAATCGGGCGCTGGGGGGAATCCTTGCGTCCGGGCCGGGGGTGGTAACCCGTCCTCGGCCGAATCAGGCTCGCCGCAGAGCTTGGCTTCGTGCTGCCTCCCGCCTGAGCGCGGCCGTGACTAGCTCGGTGCCTGCGGGGTTGTCCCAACGGCTTGCTCCCGCGCCCCAGCGGTTCGCGCGGTTGCCCCAATGGCCTGGCCCGCGGGGTTGTCCCAATGACCGCGCGACGCGGCCATTCGAGAATGCGCCCGCGCTGGGCGAGGCGGCGACGGCGTCGCGGAAAATCGACGCGCGCGCCCTTGCAAGAGACAGGAAAGGAGGTGGTGGGTGACGAAACCAACAGCAGGAGGGCGAGGCAAGGGCAACGCGGGGAGCGGGTGAGGGTCCTGCGCCAGGCCGAAAATGAGAATGACGCAGAGAAGACAATAAGGGCGCCTTACTAATCGGGAGGACGACCGTGAAGGTTATTTCCAGAATCGCCAAACGGATGTTCATGTGGGGTCTTTCCGTCGGAGTACTTATGCTCGCCAGTCGCTGACATTCGGTATTTCTGGATTCCCGGATCCCAATCTGCTGCAGGTGCTTTCTTATTTCAAATATTATATATGCTCTGGCTGCGTGCTGTTACCAGCTGGGAGGACCTGAGCGCAATACCGACCGACTGTTATAACTATAGAGAGAGAGAGAGAGAGAGAGAGAGAGAGAGAGAGACAGAGAGAGAGAGCGTGTGTGTTCAGAACCTCTGAGCGAACGCCGCTCTGGCAATGCGACTCAGGATGAAAAGCCGGCCTTGAGGGATCCACGTGTTGCAGAGCAGCGCGACGTCGAAGTTCTTTGAAGGAAAGGAAACCCTGAAGGAAACGTGTTTTGCAGGGGGCTCTTCCAGCGGACCTTGGCTTGGACGAGGGTATATCCGTTCCAGAGCGTTGCGGAACGCTCTCAGGGCGTTCCGGAAGGCGCAGGGAAGGCCGCCGGATCGCAGAGATTCTCGATCTATCCTCACCCGATTGTATCATCGTCCCCGCTTCGACTGAGGCCCTGAAGGAAACGGGTCCTGCAGGGTGTTTTCAGTCTTCCTTCCACGGGATTGGTTTTTTTTGGAGGGAGAGCCGCCGGCCCTGAAGCTCCCGATTGGGGGGGGCGAGATTGGGGGCGGGCGAATTTTCGACCACGCTTGAGCTGGGTCCCCCTGAGCTGGCCCCCCTGACCGCTGCCCTTCAGGAGTGGTGGCAGGTTGTCAGCCACGCGCGCACAGGGGGTAAGGGGGAGGGGGAAGGCTTCTCAGAAGCACCCCTGTTTCTCAGAAGGCGCGGGCCTTGTATTGTAAATGTAGGGCCGGCGCCTTCTGAGGAACAGCCTCCTCCTATGAAACCTCCCCCTCTCCCCCATTACCCCCTTGTGCGCGCCGCCAGGAAGGGTTGCGGCAATTCCCCAGCAGACCCCCTCGCGTCACGAACAAAATCACGACGGACGGTGCTTCGCTATTGGTACAGTCGACCCGGCCGCGCCCCTCCCGAAAAGCTTCGAAACGGCCTTCCGAGGCCCTTGCATCCTTATCGTGCATCCTTTTGATGCGGGTCGACTGTAGCTTCTGGGGGGGGGGCCTTTGCCGGGTTTCGGGGCTGCCACGGGAGTGCTCGAAGGAAAGCCCTGGCCCAGACATTTGGGGGTCGACTGTGTGTACAGTTCATGATGTCGGAGGTCTGGACAGGGCTCGCGATCGGTGTCGCCGCAGGCGCTGTCCATTTGAGGCGAAAGGTCGCCTGCCCAACAGCGGCCACTGTCGGTTTCGGACGGCATTTGCTCTTGGGCATGGTGCCCATCGGTTGTCCGTGCCCATCTCGGGTGCGCCAGCGAGAGTTGCCGGACACCACGCTTCTCTGGACATCCACCTTCTGGAAACACCGTAGCCACTTTGCCTCAAGGGGCGCCGTTCCTCCGCCCCGGGCGAAGGCCCGCGGCCGCCGCGCTGCCGCGAGGGCCGCCGCAATGCGGGGTTATTGGGCGCAGCAGACGGCCACGGCCGCGACGGCAACCGCCTTCGGCGCTGCCCACGCGGCCCCCTCGGAGTTGCAGCCGCCCATTGCATGCGGCGCCTACAGCAAGGAGAACCAGCTGGAGCTGCTGCGGCTGAGGGCTGCCGGGGAGCAGGCGCAGGGGAGGGGAAGCGACTCCCCCGCGCTGATGGCGCTCGAGGCGGCGCGGAAGAACAACCAGCCGAAGGCGCCTGCGCCGAAGGTTCCTCACGGTGAGCGCGAGGGTCCGTACCCTGGGATGCGGGAGCGGATCGTGTCCGAGACGCCATACAAAGTTGAGAAGATTTGGGAGGTGCCTGTCGACGCCAAGCCGAAGGCGAAGTCGCCCAGGCCAACAAAAGAATCCCGGCCCCTCGGCAAGATGCCCGTGCTCCCGGGCCGCCACGAGCTGGTCCTCGAGGGCCCGTTCCCCCTCGAGAAGAGGATCGCGGAGTTGGCGGCGCACGCCTACTACCTCTGGGGACATGCTCGTTACGTTCAGTATCTGAGTGCGGGCTCCACCTCGGAGTTGCTCGCCCACCGCCTGGAACGCTTGGCCAAGAAGGCTGATTCTGCTGCCAGGGCCCTGGCGCACAATGCGCACATAGAGATGTCCAGCGCGCCGCCGGGCCTGCCAGCGCAGGTATGCGCTGCGCCCGCGCCGTTTCTGCCCCCGCCGCCCTCGACGTCGCGACGCCACGCAGGCCCCGGCGCCCGTCGGCGCCCGCCGCCCCCCGCGCCGCCCGGCTGCGGCGGCCTGCCGGCCGCCTTCCTGTAGCGCGCCTCGCGTGCCGCGCCGCCCGCGCCGCGCCGCGCGCGCCGAGGCCGCGCAGGGAAGAACAACAAATCACAAGTCTTTCTCCGCGGCACCTGTGCGACGCAAAAAAAGGGGGCGTCTGCACCGACATTGGCACGCAAGCTGCCCCTTGTAAGGTCGCGCGTAAGCGCCATCGTGTCCAATGTGGCGTGCCACGCTGGCGGCCCGCGTAAGCCACGGCGTAAGGTCGCTATGTCATCTCGTGTAAGGCCGCTTTCTTTTGGTCGCTCATCTGGGGCCCCCCGAAGGGCCCCGTGACCATCAGAAAACGGCTCGGGACGACACGCCGGCCTTCTGGGACGGGGCCCGAGTTTCGGGAACCTCGCAATGACAACAGGAGGGCACCGGATGACTGGTTCTCCTCGGCTGCACGCAAGAGTGACCCTTCGCCGGAGTGGCCTTTGGTGCGGGCGCAGTGGGATCCCCAGATGGCCGAATGCGAGGCGACAGCAGCGGCCTGCGCGCTCCAGGTTCGGTGTCCCCGCGGCCCCCGGACGCCGCGCACCGAAGGTCGCTCGTGCCTACGGTGGGGACCCATGCCGCCCTGCTCCGCGTCCAGGGTGCCCAGGATTTCTTGGGCTTCCACACCAAAAGTTCATGGGCATCCTGGGGTCGCAGGGTTGGGTTTCTTGTGAAAGGTTTCATGTGGGCCGGAGGGATCATAATTGTGGGCGGTTTGGTTCGACAAATTTGTAGAACGGACCCCCATATCCGTAATGTTTCTGGCCCTCCTAACTTAGATCCCCTCCCAAAGGGTTAGGGGCATTTGTTCGGTGATGCATAAACGGCATACACATAAACTTTTGGCGGCCCACGCGGATTTATTGGATCTGCGCTGGAGCCCCCTGGCGGCGCCCCCCCTGGCGCGCTCTGCGCGCCAGGGAGGGGGTCCAGCTCAGATCCACGAAGTCCGGGCGGAACGTCGAAAGTTTCGCTCAGGCCGCTCTTTGTTCCTCTATGAAGGACACGGGTTCTGGAAGGCTTTGGGAAGTTTTCGGACCTCTCGGGGCTCTCCGCGGGCCCCAGGGCCGTCGGAAGTGGCTCGGGACAGCGACTCGGCCCTGTGTGGGACCCCCCCTGCGGGGTGGGAGGATCGCGCCGCATCGCCGACGCATCGGCCACGCGGCTCAATGTGGAGCCCGATGGCGCCGACGCATCGGCCATGCGGCTCCACGCTTCTCGCCGACGGCGCCGAAGCATTGCCAATGCATCGGCGATGCATCGGCGATGAGCGAGCCCAGGGGGGACGCGAGAGGGGGCATGCCTGCTCAGAAGGCGGCCGGGCCTCCGAGCTTCGCAGATGGCACCAATACGCCACCACCATGCCTGGCCAGGGACGTCCTGGGCCCTCAGGATGGTGTGCAGACCGTCCTGGCCTCGGCCAGGAGGGCGTGAGGAGGAGGAGGAGGAGGAGGAGGAGGAGGAGGA